CCCCCCCCCCCCCCCCCCCCCCTTTAAACGTTACGCCCCCCCCCCCCCTCCCATCGCCAACACGCATGAAGGCTTGTGAGTGCCGATTCTCTTGGAATGATAGCGGTGTGGGATGTTTTTCCTGTCTCCCAGAGGCTACAGACGATGCAGGGGCACTCGGACAGCGTTCAGGCGAGTACCGTAGGCGACGTAAGATATCACACCCCCAGGACCGACTTTCGTAGCTCGATTTTTGTAAGAGGCACATAGATGGCGGTGCCGAAAATGGCGGCGTTGGGACCGTCTCGTCGAGAGCTTTCCGTTGACGTATGTATCGTTTGGTTTGTACATCCTTCGTCGTGGAGTAACTGATCCTTTTATGGTTCAGGGGTTATGGTACCTGATGTCACCTAACCTGTAGGAAAAACCCGCTTCCGCGAGCGCGTGATTCCGAACTCCCGGCGGGACTGTCAACCACGCGCATGGACACCACCGGCAGGGAGGATTTTGAGGTGTTGCGTGTTCCATGCGCCATGCGCACCTCCAGAACGCAGAGCAGCCATCGGTCATTGAGAAGTTGTTTGGAAGTGTTGCCAAACAAGATGTTCAACGTGTGGCGTCACAAGCCGTCGGGCGGTGTCGACGTTCCGAACCCCTTTGAACTGTCATTCCACACTTACAGAAGGTCCGCAAGCAGCCGTCGTCGTAGAACACTCTGAATCCATGGCGAATTAATTCCTGGGTTTATCCTCAACTATCGATGGAGCAAGTATAGTTGTTTCTATGAATACCAGAAAACACGCGAAGAGGGACAAATATGAGGGAATTCTTAATGGGCGTTGCAACCGAAGGTCAAGATTGGAAAGTGATGCTACGCAGAGGAAGAGGCAACGATGTGGTTGAACATCCGCTGCTCCGTCCCTCACCTTTTGACGGTGACATTTGTCGAAACGCCTGACGCATGAACAACAAAAGTATCAACAACATCAACAACAACAACGACAGCAACAACAACAACAACAACAACAGGTGTTGACGTGGACGGGCGGCGGCAAGCGACTCGCGAGCGGCGCGTTAGACGGCAGCGTCGTGGTGTGGTCGGTGTCCGCAGAGGGCGACGCCCTCGACCCCGTCTTCCGCTACGGCGGCTTCTGCCACCCGTACCGCCTCGTGGCGATCGGCAGGTGCGATCATCTTGTGTCTGTTTCGCGCGTATGTATTTTTGTTATTTGCTGCAACCACGCTAACCGGCTGACCCATGACAGTACGTCAGACTCAGCGAGGCCAACAAATAAAAAAAAGTGTCCGCCCACAAGAAAAATAGTCGACAGTTGTGATCTGGTGTCTATGTGTGTGTGTCTTTAATGTTAGCGTCGACCGCGCTAACCGGCTGACCAATGAAAAGACGCCAGTCTCAGCGCGGCTACAAGCGCGAAAACGTCAGCAGGTGTGATCTTGTGTGTGTGTGTGTGTGTGTGTGTTTATTTGTTGTTTGCATCGACCGCGCTAACCGGCTGACCAATGAAAAGACCCCAGTCTCAGTGTAGTTGAAAAACAAAACGCTTCCGAATGCCATGGACTTGTACCCCGTGAGGGGGCGTCATGGGGGAGGCTAAGCTATTCTCCGGATTAAAGGCGTGTGTGTTTGTCTTCGTTAATAGTATCGACCGCGCTACCGGACGACAATACATCAGTCTCAGTGCGGCTAAATACGTAATACAGTCAGCTGGTGTATGTGTGTCTGTGTATTTGTCTTTCACAGTTTGCATCGACCACGCTAACCGGCTCACCAATGAAAATACGTCAGGCTCATCTGCGGCACTGGTCAACGTACCTTTCGTTATAATTGACGCATCAGTCGGGGTTGTGGCCACGCCGGAGCAACCGTCGGATTTTTTTGGTCAATTCCCCACCCCCCCACCCCCCCGCCACCCTGTGGTGCTTGCCTTCGATTTTTAACGCGAGAAGGGTTCACCAGTCCCCTCCCTCTTGACGGAGTGGGGAATGTGTAGGGTCTCGTTTAGTCGCAAAATCCTTGCCAGAAGATTCTCGCTATATCGGGGCCCTGACTTGTTGTAGTCGGAGATTTGGTGTATGTATGTATAGCTCTCTCTCAGATTGATGTATCTTTCCTTCTCTCTCTTCTCTCTCTCTCTCTCTCTCTCTCTCTCTCTCTCTCTCTCTCTCTGGACTCCGTCGATGTCGCCGACCGTTGCTGCTCAAGAGTTGGGAAGCCACACAAACGCAACACAAACGAACACATTCTCACGGAAAGACACCTACACTGTCCTTTCATTTACTCCATGGTTGCCCGCCCCCGTATGCGTCCGTATCGATAGCGTCTTGGTGCACGTGGCCTGTTTTTTCTAACTCTTTATTACGGCAAAACGTCCGGCCGAAACTGCTCGCCAATGCCCCTAACGTAGATCCCGCCCACGAAACACGCCCTCACGTTCTTGGCGTACACGTGTTTCCTCAAAAGGTCCGACTGTGGTGCCCGTAAATGCCCCTAACCGAGATCCCCCACAACGATACCCGTCCTCACTTTCTCACGTGTACCTGTTTCATCACAAGTTCCAACCGAACTCCCTATTTACAAACATCCCCACACTTGGATCCTGGTCAACCATACACCTCACGTTTCGCATTGTGTGTTTCGTCACAAGCCCCGACCGAACTGCGCGGCATATAACCCTTACAATGATCCCACACGCGATTCACATCCTCACGCTCCCGGGGTGTTGTAACTACTGTTTCATAAATAGTTCCGACCAAAACTGCCCGCCAATAGCGCCACGCTTGGATCCCGCCCAAGAAACGTCTCATCTTCGTGTTCTGCCCCGGAATGTACCTGTTTGTCCAATCAACAGGTGTTTAGCCTTCTCCTCCTCGGAACTCCCTACGGTAGATGCGCTGTTCGATGGGCCACCTTCCCACGCGGCGTCGCTCAGTGATACAACGGCTGGACATCAGGGAAACAACGGCCACCGTGATGGTGGTAGTGACGATCCACCGCTGCTAGCGGTGTCCAAAGGAGCTCACATCTCGGTTGTCGATGTGGATACCTCGCCGTCCCCTGGCGTTGCCGAGAAGCCCGGGTGTGCGCGAGTGGCCACAGGTGAGATCAGATCGTCCGCGACTCTCACGAGTCAAGTTTTTTTGTTGTCATCACAGCGAAAAACTGGCTCGTGAGTTACACGCCCGACCCGCCTGGCGGGACAGCGTTTGAGCTTCGCGACCGAAATTGATACTTCTGCATCCTGTGGCCAACGGCCTGTGACCAGGCTTCGACACCTCTATAGAAAAAATACATCTCCCCATGATAACGTGCTGTTTTTACCCGGACTCGGCAAGCTTCAACGTGTAGCGGCCGACTGCCTGTACCAGGTATCTAGCAGCTGGATAGATCAAATATTTCTCCCGTGAAAAACTGCTGCTTTCACCAGGTCTCGGCAGGCTTCAGCATCTAGTAGCCGGGGCCTCGATCGGGTCGGTGGCCCTATCGCGGATGGAGTCCTGGACCGCAGATTCCGACAGCAGCAGCATCGACAGCGACGACGAAGGTTACGTCTACGCGGGAGGGCGTGGAATTACCCACCGCGCGCCGCGCCTCTGCCGCATCCTCAGCGCCGCTAGGGCGACGTCGTTCGGACAGTTTCCCGCGGCGGGAGTGAAATCGAGGCCAGTTGGTGGTGGTGGTGGTGGTGGTGGTGGTGGTGGTGGTCATGGCGGCGGCGGTGACGGCGGTGCTCTGGAGGCGGAGTGGGTGAGCGTTTCTCGTTACCGATGGCTGTGGCCGGCGAGAGAGACGGCACCGCGGCACGATAGCATGTAGGTGCCATTTTACCAGGAGAGGGGTTGGGCAATGAGAAGAGAAGGGTAGAGAAGGTATCGCGCCCGTGGACCCCCTATGTTTTGTATAGGAATTAGACTGCCGGCTCTCTCCCCCCCCCCCTCCCCCCCTCGAAATTCTCTATAGTAAAAAAAAATGGGTACCTAGACATGGAAGCAAACGTTTTGCGGGTACCCCTGGAGTATCATACGTACTAACAAAATAATGTGTCATTGAATGGTTGGGTGGAGGTTTCCCACTTGTTGTTTGGGTCCCCCCTATTGCGCACGCCGCTTGTTCGATCGATTGCAAGAACGGGTGTCAGGCTTATCGATCGGCACGACGTTGGATGTGGGTGGGTAAAATGCCCGATACCGAGCAGAACGATCGGCGTGGAGGTGAAACAGCCGTTGACGTTGGCTTGACTTTGGGGGGTGCATGGTCCACTTTTCTGTCTCCCTTGGGGTACGGATGCTGCCATTAATACAGAGAGTGCATCACGACGGTGGTGTATTGGGGCAGAGAGACCAGCAGTAGCGATAGCACGGTATTGTTGTATTTTCGTTGCCGTTGTTTTTTCCCACAGGCCTTGCCTGAGCCCGTTGTTGTGTGTGCACCACCGTCCTACCGCTCCTTCTATGTCTGCATGCCGTCTCGTGTTAGTACGATATGGCACATGAACCATGCCAGGGAAATCTAACGCGCCCTCTGGTTGGACACTACTAACTGCTGTATCAGGCACGGCGGAGGTCTAGGCGGCGGCAAGCCGCCCGCGACCAGCAGCAGCCGTAACGGCGACGACGACGACGACGACGACAGCGGTGAAGATCTCGACGCGGGGGCATTGTGTACGTGTGCCACCTTCGTGGGCAGGACGCTATTCCTAGGTGGGGGAATAGGCGAGGACCGTGTACATTTGTCATATCCTCTAAATAGGTGGGGGATTAGGCAGTAACCGCATTTGTAATGTTCTCTCTGTGGGGGATTAGGCAATGGCCGTAGACTCGTCATGTCCTCTTTCGCGTGAGTAGTCACTTGCTCATTGTTCGGTCGCGCGTTGGTGCTCGTACGTCCTTGCTTCTCTCCCCTCTCTGTGATTCTTTTGTGCCTTTCTGGACGCAGGATACGACACAGGATATATATGGGCACACCGGGCCTTCGATGGCCGCCGGCTTTATCGGTGAGATGGTCCTCTGGGTTAACGATACGTAACGCTTGCAAGTGATCCCTCCGAAGTGGGCTCACGAGAGGCACAGTGCCATCAAGGGTGGTGCAAGATGGATACAAATCCAGGCAGCAGGACTACCCACGGCTGATTGCCAGCTCCCGTAAATGACGTTTCTCAAGCTCGAACAGCTCATACAGCTGACGTGTTTTTGACCCAAATAGCCCAGCGAACCTCAACGAACTAAAAAGAAGAACTTCAAGTCTAATTTACAGTCTTACGAAGTAATCGACTCTGTACTACACAAATAGGGCGTGTATTGTGTCAAATGATAACGTGACCTCCAGCTGGTTTGCTCAGTATCGCTCAGCCAGCACCCAAGCCACCTTCCCTGTACGGCTTTACTGGCGAGCCTCAACCTCGGAATACCTTTCTACACCACCCGGAGTATCGACCATGCCATGTACAGACAGCGCCCGCGCTTACCGACTCAACGTTAACAGAACATGAGAAGTTGAGAACCATTTGTGAGCCCGGTGGAGAACCCCTACGCTAACACCTGTATAGCGGCCTTTTGTAGCCCACAAGAGGATTTAAGAATCCCAGCCTCGGCAAAACTATATGTTCTCTATAATAGTGTGAGCGGTACCTGTAGCTCCTGTCTCTACAAGTTGCGGCTTAGACTACGTCTGTTGTTTGCTTCTACTTCTACCCCTTTGCTCTCTTGTTTTCGTTCACGTCTACTGCCTCATGGCCGTTTTGTTCGCACGCAAGACTGGCGCTCCTGTCGCCCGGTTTAAGCGCTGATTTTTAGAACAAAACACACTTGTGGAGGACGCCTGTGGGAAATATAACCAACCATTTGGGCAAGTATAAAGTATAGGAACATACGAGCCATTGGAGTAACTTGCCATCGGGAGAAGTGACAAGTAATACACCTTTGAGATCGGTCTATTCCGAAGTACTTGGCCGCTTGCCGAGGATAGAGACGGAGAGTCTTCGACTCTCCTTCTCCTGCCCTCTGGAGGCCACTCTTTCTCTACCCCTCTCTTCGTTACATCTCACGAAAGGAAGGAGCCGCCCTTGGCTGTGGGAGAATACTGCAATGGCACCGGCTCCGGTTTCTAACGGAAGCCTGTGTCCTCACACTACTATATCGCCGAAAAACTAGATATATACCGCTGGAGACAATGCCCCAATCGAAGGGATGTGTTGAAGTCTTGAATATTGTTGTTGGTGAGAATAAAACTGCTGGATACTGGACTTGCTTGAGTCTGTTTCAGCCTGTACACTGAAAGGTCAGCGGTAACAACTGGCCAAGAACACCCCAGCTGTATCTGCTCGCACACGGTTTGTCTTCGTTCCTGTCAAAGCAAGCCACCCTCATGTACCTCATAGTGCACGCTTTCCCCGCTTCATGTTACCTTGGACGACGGACAACTAGTACACTGCTGCTGCTGGTACTAGGTTCCTCCACCTGTCTCTCACTTCGTTCCCTCATCTTCCAGCCTGAGGACGCTCGGTTCTCCATCGAGACAAAAACCAATATAATTCACGTCCATGCAAATCGTAGACTACACCCCCCGCGTATCATACCCTGGACCACTTAAAACTGTCCAACTGCTGAGATTATCATACGGTTTGATGTGTCTGTCTGCCTCGTGTTTCGTTTCCTAATTTCCAGCCTGAGCACGCCCGGTTCTCTCGCGAGACTGACGGAGGCGGAGGGTTCTCTGTTCGCCTACTCTGCCTCTGGCGTGGTATCGAGGTGGAGATGGAGGGACGACGCGAGATAGAAGACGCCCCTCGATACAATTCGCAACAAGCCTTCTTGGCGGCAGAAATGCTAAAACATAGAATATCCCGTCGTCGACGCCAGTGTGTGTTGAGGGAATCAAATCTTCCTGGACAGACGTTGGGGAGATTGTGCCCCAAGTGAAGGGGTCTCCTCTGAACAGCCACCCAAAGCGGAGAAAAAGGGTGTGTGGCATGCATAGTCGGCCAGACTCGAACGGGATTCCGCGTTGCAGCGTTGGAAGGAATAGTGTAAGGGTTTTAGATTGCACAAATAACCAAAAGAGTGAAGGGATAGTCGTAGCCAGCGTAGTGAACCTGACCCTTGCCCTCTGCCTTTGGGCACTTTGTCCAGGATGGAAGCCTAACAAAGAGTTCGACATGGCCTCTGATTCAAGTAGAAGCCTACCGAAGGGTTGGAAATGACCTCTGATAGAAGCCTACCGGAGGGTTCGAATTGGCCCCTGATAGAATCCTACCGGAGGGTTCGAAATGGCCCCTGATAGAAGCCTACCGAAGGATTCGAAATGGCCGTGATTCATTGACAGGGAGATGTAATTTCCGGTGGTAGACCACGAATGGTTGTTCGAGAAGCAACAAGGAGAAACAACAGGCCTGAATGAAGCCCCTGCCGCAGTCCCGTGCGAGGGTCGTAACGTAGCCTCCACGGTCTCGGACGCGGTGATTGATCGCACCGGATGAATCAGGGAGGGTCTTGCCCGGAGATGGCAGGCCTTCCAAAGTGTCTTTGATTGGTAGTTCGTTCAAGTATCAAGGGGTAGAAAAAATATATCTTAGCCAGGTTTCTCCAAACAACGTGTCACTCATACGCCATTATTCTACGCGTCCCCAAATGTGTTGGGAATCAAAGGCTTAGGGCCTGCTAAGACTGTGTAGTCAAGAACAGTTCCCTGGTGGTTTGGTTATGCTAGATTGCTCGTTGTGTTCTTTTCAGCGAACTTCAGATCTGCTGAAAAGCGGTCCTCACTGAAAACAACATAATAGGCTGATGACGCAAGTCAGCAGTCTATCTGTCCAAGTGACCTGTGCCAAGGGTGTTGCAGCAGTGAGCAAGCAGCGTAACAGGAGCGTGTGCCACACCTTGTTGACAGGTGTCCGGAGGTGCACTGTAGACGTGAGTCTACAACCAAATGAGGTATTTGGTTCAAAGAGAAATGAGAAAAATATGTTGTACAATTTTGTTTTATTGTTGAGCTGGGCAGGAAACAGAGTGAGCTCCCGTGGGGGGCGTGCGCTCTGTCTGGCCAGTCTTTTTTGTCGATTACCGACGAAACTACGAAGAACCTCAGTACCAGTCCGGAAACGTTCCGGAAACGTTCCGGGAACCAAATACCGTTCTATAAGACCAAAAGTACTGTTCCGGCAACGTTCCGGGAACCTTTCTGATCTTGCTCTGGCCTTTTCCTGAGAACGTTCCTGAGAACCGTTCTAGCAAAGTACGCCCAATCTAGGAAACATTGCTAGAACCGTTACTGAACCTACCGCATCCATCAGTGGATCGTTCTAGATACTTTCCTGAAATATTGTTTCTTCAAGTTGAAGTTACTTCCGTAAGAGCCGATTTTAGGGCGTTTTGTGTGCCCTGTCACGTATACAGAAACCGGTATGTTTTGTGCTACTGAAATCGCTCATGATGTATATGACATCGTTTACTGTGTTGTATTCAAGATAATACCTATAACAGCAGTCTTTATCAGTTGATCCTAATATTTCTAACAAAATGAATCAAAGAAAATACATCACAATCTTGCAGACATCACGCTGCTCCAGAACCCTTTGCACAAGCGCGTACAAGTCGGTGGACTTGGATTTCTGGCGTACGCAGTTCTTGCGCTTCACATCATCACGCATTCCCGCAAGCGTCTTCGCTTCCTCCCCGATCACGCAGTTCTCAAGCTCATGACACGGCAGGCCCGCGTGCAACAAGAAAGATTTCTTGTGGTCCATGCGCCTGTTGAATGCTTCCACATCGTCTTCACACAAACCCGCACCCAACAATTTCTGGCCGGAAACCCCCACTTGGTCGTCGAATGCTAGTACGCGTTGCACGTAAATCTTGACAGGCAACGTCTTCTTGTAAATCCTGTACCTCGCGAGAAATTTCGAGAATTTCCCGAAAACCTCTGGGAACTCTTCCCCATAGTTCACTGAAGGGCGGTCGCTAAGGTACCTGTGTCTTCGTACCGCACGCATGACCACGTCTACGTACTTCTGCACCAAGTGCGCATCAGGTATCATAGGAAATTGCACCTTCACCACGCCAAGCATCCCCTGCTCCTCAAATGTGTTGTGACAGCGTGCGATGTGACTCCAGTCATCATCCGTCCAATAGCACGGCTGCCCCAGAAGCTTTTCGATGAATGAGCGTGCTACAAGAACTAAAGGGAAGGTCATGGGTAAGTGCCATGGTGTTAAACCATATCTCGACATGCACAGGTAGCACAGCACCCGCGAGAATACGCACACCCAAGGCACAGAAGAGGTTCTCTGAGTGACTAAAGTTGGAGGCGCACTCGAACCCGTATAAACGTCCAAGTCGACTAGTACCACTACGACCCTCTTCACGAAAGGAGTCGCTATTGAAGAATGTGAAATGTCCTGCGTCCGCCCCTAGCGCGATCAATCCCTCCGCGTTTCGTTTACCGCAAGCTACATCAAGAGCATCAGAAGGACAGATCCCGACCTCCTTTACCATGTACCGCATAATCCTAAGTGATTTGTGCCCCATCATCATCGCGACAAACCTCAAGTAAGTGTGTAACATTGATAGCAGATGGATCACACTGTCGTAGCTCGTGCAGATCGAGCTTCGCACACGCCCGCTCGACCCTACCATGGGGCAGTTCGCGGTCCTGACTGCCACCTTGAAAGGGCTCGTTGCGCTGCGCCATGTACCATGCCACACCGGGGGCGATCATGATGGAGAGATGAGAGGTGAAGTGTGGTTACGACACTGGTTACTGCTGTATGTATGTGCGGATGTGCGGCTCAATCAACAACGTCACGCGGCGAGATTGGCTGAAACCGTCACTTCAAATTCCGCCGCACCATCTGGGAGCTACCGCCTGGAAATGAGGTCTTTCTGAGAGGATGTGCTTGCCGACGAATTCCTCGGTGGATGATGTCGGACATGGTTGAACTTGAGACGGATGCCGATTGTTGTCACGCGGTGGCCCCCCTCGTGTGAAAAAATGGGCAAAGGATCTTTCGGTAGAACCACCAACACGAACGATGAGGTGGTTCCATCAAGGAGGCTAGAACCGGACCACAACAAAGATAGGAGTATAGTCTAAAAGTCGTTCATTCTTCCAGAAGATCACATACCAACGGCCTCCAACGATGTCGCAGCTCTTTTACTGTTCTTGCTCCAAGACATTCAAGAATAAAGCATGCCTGGTGGACCACGCGGTGTACAGCAGCCCCAAGTGCACCCCCTCCCCCCCCTCCTTTGTTGTGGTTTACGACAAGTACAAAGATCGCTGCGAGAGATTTTCCTCACTACAAGTACGTCGGGGCCCTGAACGTTGTTGTCGGAGATTGGTGTATGTAAGTAGCAACAGGCCTGTAGCCCCTGCCGTGTTTCTCCTCAGAAGTCAAGGGTGCTGCGGCACACGATTCGAACTTCAACAAGTACGTTGATTGCGAACATAGTGCCTCCTCGGTTTGGTCGTCCCCGCTTACCAGATGGATGGCCATCCATATAAAGTTGGTGAGGTGAAGCAAAGAAAGCAATATGTTATTCGGATACGATGACTTGCGTGCCGCTGGGAGCTTACAGCCACAGGCGCCCGAAACACAAGCAACCAGGTACAGAAAACATAACACATGACAACAGAAGAGTAGAGGGAAACGGCGCTGGCTGCTTTGTCTACGGACCCCGAATCACCGTAGCTGCAAGATTTGGAAGAGGGCCAATGTGCGGCCGTGGTCCAAGTACACAGACACCCCGGGTAGCAACTGCGCTAGCAACAACACCATCATCATTGGAATCAATTCTAACAAAAAACAGCAGAGTGCTCGGGAAACCAAGCTCTTGCATTGCGCTTCCGCGGTTTGCGTTGCAAGCTTCGTCGTCACTCGAGAGTCAAAATAAAATAATGTCCAGAATCCGCAATGCATCTATCTGTCCCAATGACATCATCTAAAGGCTTCTGAGACCAAAGAATGCCCGAATTGAAGCCGTGATCAACCTTTGGGTGTTTCCAGCCCCACATGCGGCCAAGAGCCTTGCACGGCAGTGTTGGTCGTTGCTGCGTGCATATCACGACTCTTAACCTTCAGCGTCATCCACAATGCCAAAAAAACGACTACTGGTACACAAGAAGAAAACACCTACACGACACTTTCGTACAAAGCAAAACGCTATCCCAGTCACGAGGAAAACCTTACCCCAAGCTAGCTTGAGGCATGGGTACCATATTTTTCGCCGTTCCACCCCTCTTTTTCCTGCCACGTCTGGTATACTCGTCTTCGCATCTTGATACATGACGATGCACACTTTCGTTACGCGTTTAAGCCACGAAAAACGTACCTGACCAACAAGTTTTTCCCACTACCCAACAATAACAAATAATTCCAACAACAGAGAAACAGCACGAATAGAACACGCCAATCGGCAACGTCCCTACGCCCTAGATACCGCGTGCATGACGTAAGCCCCTCTCGCGAAGCCGACCATTTTCTAGGATTGACTACAGGGCGGAACGGTCAATAACGCTTCCCCCCTTGCACAGAAATGACATCGACAACTACACGCCCCGCTCCGTACACTCCAAGAGCTTAGTGGTGCTGCGCTCCACACAGCCAAGGAGCCGCCGCATGTGTCCCGGGTTCAGGGCGAGCAGCGTACGGTACTTGTCCTTCACGATCGTGTTTACGAGCTTCTGTCCGCGCGTGAACCACTCTTCAGCCGCGTTGGCGGAGCGCCATCGCAGCATCCACAAGCCGGTACTGTGGGCCACCTGCCCAGACGGGGGGGGGGGGGTGTGTGTACTCATAGTCGTGCATGCCGTAGTCGTTTGACCATTGACCTCGCATCCCTACAAAGCCGGGACGGAGCACGCCGGGTTCTCACCGGACCAGGCTCTCACATCACCAAGCGCGAAGCGCCGTGAGGTATTTGGCGAGTCGCATGAAGGGTGAGCTGCATCCTGCTAAGGGTGTTCGGCATCTTGTGCTTACTTCCTTGCGTACGGATGACAGCTACGTATGACTTAATTTATTTTCTGGTGCTTTCACTTCCAGAGACAGTTGTAAGCACTGTGTAACTGCCTCGAGGAAGCTTGACCATTTTAACACAACGTGG